ATCATCACGATGATTGCGATAGATCAAAAATTCAAACGGAAATTTCCTGTTTTCTTTTGTTCACTTTTTCTTTCTTGCCTGTCTGCTTCCGTCTCTGCCCGTCTGTCTGCTTTCGTCTCTGCCCGTCTGTCTGCTTCCGTCTCCACCTACCTGTCTGTTTCCGTCTCTGTTTATGCCTCTGCCTGCCTGTCTGTCGGTTTCTGTCTGTCTGTCCGCCTGTTTGTTTTTGCCTTCTTGCCTATCTTTATTGCGAGTTGCTAATTTCAATTGCTCGTCAATTTACAAGTTCGATCGTCACTTCCTCCCCCACGCAATCCTTGCGATTAGCAACCTGAGTCAAAATTATATATTTTGATAGAAATGCTTTGCTGTTTTGATTGAAAGATAGGATGGTAACGAAAACGGATATTTCTCGTATGATGGATATTTTGTAATTCGATTATACGTATATACATACATACACACACACACACATATATATATATATATATATATATATATATATATATATATATATATATATATATATATATATATATATAGTGGACTCTCTCATTGTTTTCGACGTATGAGTGTCAAGCAACTCAGTTCCTAGGAATCGACAGCCAGACTCCCTACATATGACTTAATTAAAGCGGGTGAAGACATTGTGCAGAACCAACCACACTTTTTGAATAGCTGAATACCGACCTGGTGCACCGTGTGCCACAAGGTCCCCAAACGACTCTCCGCAGGTTTTGAATTCAGAGTTGTTCTTCTCTTAGACCAGTTGCTATCCAATGCTATAGAACCCAGTCTTTCCTGCTATTTACCCATCACTGCTTTAAGTGATCATTAGACCAAGTGTTACTCTTTTTTTGTGTCGCCTTTCTCATTTATATGAATGTCTAGGCAATTGATATCTTAAAAGGCTAGTGGGGAAAAATGTATTTTGCTCTTTTTTTTAAAGAGTTAATGATTTTAGATATGTTGTCTTATCCTTTTTTTTTTTCTTCTTGTTATATTAATTTTATTTCATTTTGCTTATTTATTTATTGTATACTTTCTTTGCTGCTAAAGTTTTTCTGATTACTTTCAAAGAAAGTTTATTAGTTTTAGATTATTACTTATCGAGTCTTTGGATTCCTGATGTGGTTGTTAATTTTAAACAATATACCATTTATATATATATATATATATATATATATATATATATATATATAGTTCACATAAACCCCTTATTTATATTCATAAGGTACAATTATTCGCAAACTGATGAATCAGTTTGGAGGGAGCAGTGCATATTTGCATGTCTGTGAATGGAAGTGTATAATGTATTGGTGTGATATTAGCTGACAATTAAAGCAATAGAAGAGTTATTGAAATGGGCAATTTATCTTCGTCTGCAAGATAGACGCTGTCATTATAGTAAGCAGGCTTATCAAGCCTGTCCCCAACTCATTAGAAGATGGACCTTCAGCTAAACATTTTCGCTGACACAAGCGGCCATAAATCATTGTTCGTCCCTGATTGGCTGTTATCATTACCCTGCCTTCTCGGAACGAGATGCCTCCGTATCAGGAAAATAGTCGATTTGCCTCTTTCTTTCTCTGCGTTAGTATTTGACGCAGGCCGTCATATGGCGGCTTGCATTCGTTTCTTGTTCGATTTTGATTATACTCTCTTACACCCCCTTCTTCCCATGCCCTATAAATAACTTAATTAGGCAATATGATAATATTGAGATTGCCTCCTCCATTCCAATTACGAAGAACAAAACAATCAAATGACCAAGAATAGTGGTAATACCCCCACACCTCTCTCTTATTCCTTTTATTATACTTCTTATAAAAATAAACATTTCATTCGTTCACCAAAACAAGTATATTTTATTGACATAAGGAATGTAAGAATTAATCCCGAAAAGGTGATCATGGTTCTCTACAATTCTCTGTCTTTTGTTGCATTAAGTAATTCTTACCGGTTTTACCACGCTTCTATGTCTTTTTCGTTCTTGTTCTGTCATCCTTTTATTCAATCTCGTCAAGTAGTTTACTTGTTGCTTTTTCCTGCTTCTCTTGCTTTCGGTATGTCTTGTGAGTGGTAAATTCCCCAAGCCTTCTTTCCTTATAACGTGTCTTAAATGTCTCTATTGTCACTTTCTGATTGCTCACGACAGTTTCATTGTATTTCCTGTTCTCTTTAAAATATCCAATGTATCCGTCGGTAACCACATTTCTGTTGTTTCAAGTTTTCTCTTCATCTGGGAAGAAATTCTCCACCATTCACTGAAGATTAAGCATTGCATAGCAATCCATGACACCATTCCTTGTTCTTTAAAGACTTCTTTTCTATTTCGTAATAATTTGTTTATTTTTTTTTTTTTTTTTGGAACTCCATTTTTTACTATTCCGATGGGTTTGGGATTTCTGTGTCATGGTTTTCGTTGTCTGTTGCCACAATGCCCAGGTAGTTATATTTAGGCATCAGCTTGTTTTTTGAGATCCCTAATACAACACTTGCACCTTGTTTTTTGTTTCTTCATTTTTTGTTTTTGTTTTTTTTTTTTACAGCTATACACTCTTCTTACTTTGTTCTTACTTTGACTTCCGTGATTAATAGTTATTTCAGTTTTTCCGAAAAATATTCTTGTTTCATAAAGAAAATAATTCATTTACTTATTATTTCGATGTTTATTTTCAACATCGTTGGGACAGAAATAAATCCCCCTTCTCTCATCTTTTAAATGACTCCTTAAAGATTCTCTAAATTCTTCGAAGCTTACTTCGGAGTTGCGAGTGGCTTAACAGCATCAAGAGTGGAATCGGCAAAACGGTTTCAAACACCAGTTGGGACAGTTCGCATTCACACATCGGGAAAGGCATAATTCGATATTTAATTCACATTGGTTATGGATAATTGGCGGAGAAGTTGGAACCCTTGAGCTATGTAAAGGACAGTCCGTCTTGTGAGTCAAGCCAGCATGCCGGTCTCATAAAACTTCACAGTTGCTATAATGATTGGGTTTCCGTGGAGATTTGGAGAAATGGTAATAAAAAATATTATCTCTTGTGACTTGCGTAAAAATATGAGGAATTATAAATTTTCAGAATATATAAATGAACATGCTTGATGTTGGTGATCTATTTTCGAAAGCATTTGGGAGAAAATGCGCCATGATAAGTCAATAGACGTAGTATGAAACTAATCTTCAAATATACTTAAATCTTTTTTTTTTTTTTAACATTATATTTTTCTTCTATCTCTACATACAGCGAATTTTTTTTTTTAAATCAAGTTTGCCTTTTAAGAAAATTAAATTAATTCTCTTTTATTCCATTTTTTGCATTATTTAACTGTCACGGAATATTTTCATGTTGACATTTCAAATAAGCTGTTGGTAGTGAAAGTGACAAATGAGGTGTGAGATTAACGGTAGAAGGTGTAGTTATTTGATCAGAAGAGATTTGGCCATCAGCGATGAATGAAATAAAATCAGCATTCAAGGTCTGAATTTTAGTAAAGGGCGCGAAATGGTGTCAATTTCAAAAAAGAAATGAAGTTTCTTTTCATTATTTTATATATTATTGAACAGATAAAAAAAATAAATTATTGTTATTATTATTATCGAAATGTAAAAAAAAAATTCAAATAATCCGCTGCAAGAAAATTGCCAATAAGACTCGTTTTTCTATTATCCGTAGTTTTTTTCTCTTTCTCTTTTCCGTTAATTTTATTTAATGAATTGTAATCCGAAGTTTAAATTTCATTTCCTGGCACAATTTGCTGCTTCTAACCAAAATTCAATCTGTCCACTTCAGAAAAGAAAATCGAAAATATAACAGTTTTCAACTTCACAAAATCAAAATCAGTCAGTTATGTGCCATGCGTCATACACGCTTAGGCGATCATGTATTTTTCTGTCCTGCTATTTTACTCATAGATGAGGGGAGAAGAAGAGGATTCATACCTTTCCCAAGAGTAATAGTATGTAAGTGAATATCAGTTCAGTTATATGCTATGCATGATACATGCTTAGGCGATCATATACTTTTCGATACATGACTGACGAGATAGATTTTTCCCACAGTAGGTTGCCATTTTTTCATGCGGTAGACCAGTTGCCATCCAAGGCTATAGAACCCGGTCTGTCCTGCTATTTTACCCATAGCTGAAGGGAGAAGAGGATTCATACCTTTCCCAAGGGTATTAGCACGTAAGTGAATATCAGTTCATTTATGTGCCATGATCATGTATCTTTCGATAGGTGACTGATGAGGCAGATTTTTCCCGCAGTATGTTGCCGTTTCTTTCTGCGGTAGACTAGTTGCTATCCAAAGCTATAGAACCCGGTCTGTCCTGCTATTTACCCATAGCTAGAAGGAGAAAAGGATTCATACATTTCTCAAGAGTATTAGCACGTAAGTGAATGTAATGAATTCTACTAGAATTCGAAAAGTTTCAAAAGATTTGATTTTGTCCCCGTTTATTTTAAACTGAGAAATTGAATAAACTCTATTATTAAAAAATAAAATAAAATTTAATTGAAAAAAAGAAATTACAACCATAAAATGATGTTATATATACTGTCGATTAAAACTACAACCATTCAATAGACATTTCGAAATTATTTATTTTTATATACATTTTTCATACTGTATAAGAATTAACTAACATAGTTGTGAACTACAGCGAGTTTCAACCGGCTGCTGGCTAAATCTGCACGGGTAACTGAAATACTGGTTTCCAAGGCGGTGATGACACGTTATCGCTGGGCGGTGGGTGTCATTGACTGAAGTCAACAGCTTCTACAGGGGCTTCTCCTGATGGAAGCAACGGACACGTGTCCATGCCCAGTGCGTGTCTTGGACATTGGCTGTGGTCTCACTTGGAGAGGGATAGGTTCCGCCAACTCTACTTTACCCAAGACACGAAATGTATGAATGAATACCTACCGAGACACGTGAGGGGAGATGTTCCGGTGCTCTTACGGCCACATCCGGTCATGGGACTGATGATGCATACGGCCATATCCCGTTGAAACACCGGTTCTTGCCTTACACTGAAGTTAAGCAACGCTGAGCCCGGTCAGTACCTAGATCGGTGAACGCGTGGGAATACCAGATGCTGTAAGCTTGCATGTGCGGGTAGTGTAATGGATAATGACTCGGAATGAAAATTCGGAGAATCAAGTTCGAATTCCAGTCGATGTCATTATATTTACTTACGTGCTAATACTCTTGGGAAAGGTATGAATACACCTTTTCTTCTCCAAACTCTGGGTTAAATAGTACTATTTGTATCAGAAAAAAAACATTGTCTCCAAAATTTTTCTTACACTCCAAAAAATGTTTCGGCTTTAAATAATATTCAAAAGGTTGATAAGTCATAAAAAAACAAACGGACACATTTTAGTGCACTTAATAAGATTTGAACTCACCACTGATTGCAATCACGCAGTCTCAGTCCACAACAGTGAGTGTTTCTTTTTATGATTTTAACAGAACTTAAGATCCAAATGACTACGAATAGCGTAGTTAAGTATACTAGTCTTGCAAGCCATTGTATATGTTCGTTTTCCGTTGCGGTTTTCTTAATACCAATACAAGGCTCGAGAGGCAGTCAATGTGGAGGTGACTTTCAAAATGGTTATAATGAAGGTGGCGTGTGATATGAATGCAGGAAGTGAAGATTATGAAGATAAGGTGGATACCGATTGAAAGTCGTCACGTATCCGTCCTTGTGTCAAACCTAGACGAATATCAGCTCATGATTTTTCAGTCTAATTTAAGATTAAATATCAGAAGCTTTCATTAGAAAAAAATGTTTCCTATTTTATTATGGCAAATGCAACAAATGTTTCCCCCAGAGAGACAGGGCCTGGCCCTAATATTTTGTGTTTTCAACAGACATCATATGGCCATTGGTAACTTTACTCTTTTGATTGCTTAAGTATGGGACTAACATCTTTGCCTGCGTGGCATTGTTTGTGGGTCGGTAGAAAGTGCGAGAAAAAGCATTGGTTATGAAACTCAACCACACAAAGGCCAGATGAGAAAACATTTCGCTTGGAAGCCAAACATGAAACAACAAGATGCATGTTTTGTTTCCGACATCATAATTGGGAACAGGAATTTGATCGTAGCAATGTCGGTTTATTGTAAACATCGTAAGAAACTCTTGAAAAAGATGCAAACAATAATAATAGACAATGATTTTGTTTTAGGGAGGGGCGAGAAGAGAGGGCGGAAAGGAAGAGAGGCAGAGGACTTTAGTGAGAATGTCACTGAAAAGAAAATGAAACGAGGTGGAAGAGAGAAGTTGAACGAGCGAAGAGAAGAAAACATGGATAAAGAGAGAGAGAGTGAAACGAAATAGATAAATGTAGAAAGAAATACAAGCATGTAAAGAGAGAGAGAGAAACGGACAGACAGACAGAAATTGTAAACCAAACTAGTGAGAGAAAAATAGAGCAAGACAGATAAGGAGAGAGAAAGACAAAGAAAATGAGCAAGACAGATAAGGAGAGAGAGGAACTGATCAAGATTTGGAGAAGACGGCGAGACAGAAGGAAGACAGAAGAGGGAGAAAGAGAGAGAAGGTGGAGGAAGGAAGAAGATAAAAAAGACAGGCAGACGGAATGAATGGAAGGAACAATCATAGGAGAAAGAAACAAAAGAGAATACTAAAACGAGAGAGTGATGGAGGAAGCGAATTGTGGATAAGGGGACATACTTTTAAAAAAAATGTATACTTGGAAATGTCAACAATAAAAATCTTGCAAGTAATTGTTTACAGAACGACAAATGATCAAAGGACATTTTAAACTTGGAAACCAATGATGATTCCAAAGAAATATCATGGAAATAACGAAATTACTAGTCCAAAACATACACCATAACACAAACACCCGAACCGGTGCTTAACTTTCACAGCCCAACCTACTACCCAAACTCTAACCATATGACCAAGCGACGGATACTTTTGGGGGATCCATTCTTGATCAGGCTGAAAACTTTTCAACACAACCTCGTAATAGCTAAGGAATTTTGAGACATGATTACTTAGAGAGCAGAAACGATGGTTCAGCATTTGTCCTCGCCAACACATTTTCTTTGCCATAAATAAATAAAGAAGCAAAACCCCAATCAAGTATTTGGGGCCTTTTGTCCCAATGCTGTAAAATTACTTATGCTTCTCTTTATTCCATAGTCTATTATATTTTAAAATGTTGTCAGACAATTTCCAGGAGAGAGAAACAGAGTCAACAATATCTAAGGAGACAGATATGTGTGCGTATCCCAATAGAATTAAAAGATGCGGTGAATAGAAGCGCTATAGGTATTTATATATTTGCACGATAGGCGTTTCAAAATTGTCTTTTGTCTTTCAATTTACAGAAAGAAAATAAAAAATGAGTGTTTTGAAGACTTGATTTGTCAAGAGACTTACACGTGATGATACAAGAATTATTGAAAAATTTTAATTATGACTTTAGAAGTGTTTTCTCGGCGCAAGTCATTCGTGAAGGGAAATGTGTTACTCTCCAAGGGGGGCAACAATTTGGCGGCAAAGGTCATGTGTTTTTGGAAGTATTCACTTTGTTATTGATCCTGAGAAATAGACGTAAACGTTCTCACTTTTTTTTATTTATATACATACACAGATTCATATGCGAATGGAGCATGTTACTTCACTAAACGTTCACATTAACACATACATCAATATAAATAGATAATTCCATAATTACAGTAATAATAAACGGTTCTCTAAAACTTATTACATAAATTAGAATCAAAATAACAAATCCGTTAATTAAGTGGCACTTTAATGAAATTTGGTATGAATAAAAACGGAACTATATCATAAATAGTAATGAAAATATTAGCAGCTTATCTAAGAGGAAATATTTGGCATTCATTGACCGAGCAGCCAGTACAACTGTCGGTTGAAATTTATAGAAATGTTTTTCTTTAAAATATTCTTTTGGAAAATAGGCTTCACAAGTATCATAGCTGTTATCACGCTTTCCAGTATTGATGGGTATTTCCTTTCAAAACAGCTGTTTGAAGTAGTGTGGAACCTTTACATCATACCAGTATTTTCTCTTCGAGTTACATGTTCTATCCATTTTAGTTGTTGCTGCTATTGATATTCAAGTGATTTGGCTTATATTTCTGTCACTCTCGCCTGTCTCACCCCGTTCCTGTCTCTCTCGGTTCCTGTCTCGCCCCGTTCCTGTCTCTCTCGGTTCCTGTCTCGCCCCGTTCCTGTCTCTCTCGGTTCCTGTCTCGCCCCGTTCCTGTCTCTCTCGGTTCCTGTCTCTCTCGCCCCTTTCCTGTCTCTCTCGCCCCGTTCCTGTCTCTCTCCGTCTCTTTCTCTATTTACCTATTCCGTTTCACCTCTCTCTTTATCCATGTTTCCTTATGTAGCGATAGTCCGCAATCAGTCCTTTCCCATCAGGTTTCACTCTCTCAATATACTCTATACACAACACATTTATCGGAATGCGCAGATGAGCTGATCGAGTCGGTCTTCATTTCGTGTTTTGGTATCACCGAAACGCACGACTCCAAATCTAATTGTGTTCCTATCCACCGTTTGGTCTCCGTAAACATTCAGTAATCTTCGATGAACGCCAAATGGGTACAATTCTTTTAAGTATTGAAGAATATCACTTTCATGTCAGACACTATTTTGCCAGATTGCTGATCTCATGCAAGGCAAAAAAAAATATTGAATATTGGCAGAAATGTTTGAATCTGCGAGTCTAATATTGACTTTTGACGTTTTAGGCGGGTATGATTAATTATGATTGTTAACAAAAGAGACAGCCCAACATGCAAATTACAAATTGGAGAAACGAAAACCAAACAAGTTCAACAATTTAAATATTTGGGAAGTGCGAGAATGAAATCTGAAGGTGCATTAGGATAGGGAAAGATGCCTCCAAAAAGCTAAGCAAAGCATAAAGAAACAAAAAATTTCGTTAAACCCAAAAAAAAGCGAACTGAACTGTTATTTAATATCGTTTATCATATATAGCAGTGAGTGTTGGACACTCGCTTCACTGATGAAGAAAAGACTTGAAACAACAGAAATATGGTACTAAAAAAGGATGCTGAGAAAGCCATAGACTGAACATGTGAGCAATAATGAAGTTTTAGAGAAAATGGAAACAAAAAGAACAGTTTAACATCAAAAAGAGACAGTTTAAATTTCTAGGGTATATAATGTGGAAAGTAGGCTTGGAAAATTTGATACCCACAGGACAAATTGAAGACAAGATAGAGGAAAACAACGCATAACCTACCCAGTGAGCTCGTGTAAGGGTAGCGTAACAACGTTTAGGAGAGATAACAAAAAGACAAAGTTCATCCTTTATAAAGGACAGGAAATTATGGAGAGCCATGATCTCCAACGGCACATAGAAGAAGTTAAATTGGTTTCCAAAACAGCAATAAACAAAACCGTTGCTTTTTTTTTCCCTCTATCTCTATTTCTCTGCCCTGAAGTATTGTCAGTCTTATAAAAAAAAAAAACAAAAAAAAAACATCGATGCGCTAAACTGATCGTGCATCAAAGGCTAGACGAAGGCAGTGTCTTCAAATGTTTTAAATACGTTCATGTTTATTTTAGGAAGCGGAGAATCGAACAGAGCGACATACACTTCTTAAATACACTCTTCACTTCTTTGTACAACGATCAAGTTTTATTTATTCACTCTTCATCTAGCCTATTAATTTACACCCCATAACACTTAGGAGAGATTGCGTATATAAGTGCGTACATATACACCTTGCTGGAATTACTTAGATCGTTGGACTCGGCGGAAAAAAAGAAAGCGAGACTCGTTTTACTGCTGGTATAGCCAATTCATTATGCAATTGCAATTTTAAAGTGGGCTGGAGGTGAATAATTTTATTTTCAATCCTTAATTATGACATAGATGGAGAATTTTGTCGGGGGTTTCGTATTACAGACAGACAATTACCACATGATTAGAGATTATGGGCCTCATCATAATAACAAAAGATCCCAGAATCTGAGGTGTGGGGGACGACCAGCTGCTATGGTACGTCTTGCATGTCCCCATCTGGCTTCTGAACACCGTAAACATCTGTGGTCATTGAGAGTAATGGACAGATAAAGTGAGGCTGGCATGCATCCAGCTCAAGAAGCGAAACTTTTAAACAAAATGAATGAAATCGAAAAAACCTAAAATTTAAAACCGAAATATTTCGACAAGGCATTTCTCGTTTTGCATGAATAAAAAAAAATGTTCGTTCTCGATTGCGTGTTTTAAAAAATATCAATTTTGCTAGAGCTAGACAAGCGGACACAGTTAAATTTCTGGAAATGTCAGAAAGTATTGAGCTAACAATGATCCAGCATTCGTATCGCTAAAAAAATTACGTACGTTTTCCTTTGCAATTTTGACTTTCTGCATCAGTTGTTTCTGTTTTTTTGTTTGTTTGTTTTTTTCTTTTTTTTTTTTTTTTTCTCGTCAAGGATAAGCTCCGTCAATTAACTGTAGGTAATAGATATGTAGTTTATTGGTTTTGTTTCCTCTTTCCAAGCCCTATCACGTGTGTGTGTAAATAGTAAAATGGCTGTAGTTGAAGGTGGCATATTTAGTGAGAGACAACGGGTTACCGGAAGGCTAACAAGCCTGCATATGAGACTGTGTATTAACGGATAAAAAAGAAAAAGAGAAAAAAAATGTTATGCGAAAAGTGAGGAGTGATTTGATGACGGAGAGGTCACCGCAATTGTAGTAAGCTATAATTTGAGGGATCTTCAGTCAATGGGGGAAGGCCTCTGAATTATTACCCATCATCTGTTTACCTCACCCTTACTTGTAAAGAGAAGGGAAGGCCTATAAGCAGGCAGGCAGGCAGTCCTTTTGCACAAGAAGTGAAGACAACTCTCCTCTCTTTTATTCTTCTTTCTTTCCTTCGTTCCTTCATGCACTTTTCCAAGGTGTTAGTGCCATCTCCCCTTTTTCCTCTCCGGGAGACTGACTGGTGAGGTGGGGCTGGTTCAAGCTGTTGGTAAAGGAAGGTGACACAGCCCCGGTAAGTGGTATAGTGAAATATAAAGGGGCCAATGCAGAAGCCACAGCCCAGTTGGTGATGGAGGTAGTGGCGGTGACGGTTGCTATAATTTCTATTATCATTTCCCTGTTTAATTAATGACTTAGTAAGCCACCATCTGTCGCAATATTTGCCCGCAGAATGGTGGAACGACTTCGTTCACAGTGAGAAGTCTCGAGAAGATAGCGAAAACCATGAGAGTATAAGCCCCTATTTATAAGGCCATTGGCTTTCTTTCCAACGTTAACTTACTATTCTTGCTCAACCCAGCGGAGTTCATTTCTACGGCCGGCTAGGGTTATTAAGACGAAGCTCACCATTTCACAGAGGTCTTTGACAAATATCATTCTCTCAAATTAACTGGAACTGTATTTGATTATCTACGAAATCTACTGACCAATGTGCAGGTGATTTGTTTAGAAAAATAATCGCATCGGATTTTAAAAGCTGAAAATTATAGAATGTATGGTGTATTTTTTTCCTTTCTTTTTATGGTATTTTTCTTCTTTTTTTACTGTTATTTTTTTTTTTCTTTAAAGAGGGGTGTGTATTTTATAATAGATCAAGAACCAACTTAATCTTTATCATCACACATGACTTTAGGTCAAAATGGATTAAACTTCTTTTTTTTTTTTTTTCATGTATTTTTTTATATGAATATCGATTCTAACACGTGCTAATTTCACGATAGATTTGCTAACCTATAATTTTATCGTTTCGTAGCCTCCTATAGAATTTGAAAAGTAAATATTTGAAACTGCGCAAAATTTACCAGAATTATAGACAGAAAATTCTTATTTGTAATTATTATTATACGCACACACACACACACGGATATATATATATATAACTCTAAAGTTGGTCAGTGAGATAAATTATTTGAACATTCATGAAATAATCTATAGTCTGAAATATATATGAACCTAAAGAGCCAGGCAAACCTACCTAGGTTTCACCTACGCGAGTCGTCAGGGTACGTTGGCCAAAGAGGTAAATTGGAACAGAATATATATATATATATATATATATATATATATATATATCCTACAACTTAAAAACAACCATGACCACGTGAATAAAAAAAACAACGTGGGGGGGGGTTAATTCATATTTATTCAATAACTAAAATATAACAAATATAAAAAAAAAGAAAGAAGAAATTTGGTCTACTTATTGTATTGAGCACTTTACTTAGTTTCTTTTGCTTTACTCGTTTTGGAGGGTTTTTTTCTTTGGACTCTGAACTTGGATTCTGGACGATTGTTTTCGCCTCAATTCCATGTTTTTAGTTCTTTCTTTTTTTTGTCCCTTATTTTTCCTTGGGTGTTGGTTTGTTCATTTACAAGCCAAAAACACCTAATATTTTTATATATATATATATATATATATATATATATATATATATATATATATATATATATATGTGTGTGTGTGTGTGAGAGCGTGCGTGTGTGTACGCGCGTGTTCCGAAACTAATGTCTCCT